AAATACAATTATCATATTTTGCGATCAAATTCCGGCGATCTCGTCCGAATGAGACTTCACGTCTGAAACCCGACGAGACGCGCTGTTTGGTTCACTCGACAAACCACCTCGACACGACCATGAGCAAGTACCCGAACCTACTGCAGCCGCTGGACTTGGGCTTTACGCAGCTCAAGAACCGCGTACTTATGGGATCGATGCACACGGGGCTCGAAGAGGGCAAGTCCCTTACCCGCCTCGCCGCTTTCTTCGCTGAAAGGTCCATTCACCAATGTATCATAACCACAACAATCCCAGCATTCTAATGCAATTGCTGCTGCTGTATAGAGCCAAAGGCAACGTAGGTCTCATCGTAACTGGTGGTATTGCACCCAATCGAGCAGGTCGCGTGAGTCCGTTGGCCGCTAAATTGACGACACAAGGTGAGGTGAACGCACACAAGGAAGTGACCCAGGCGGTGCACGACAATGACGGCAAGATCGCAATGCAGATCCTGCACAGTGGACGCTATGGGTACCACCCGTTCAATGTGGCGCCGTCTCCTATCAAAGCTCCGATCGGCTGGTTCACCCCACGAGAACTCTCCAACTCTGCAGTGGAGAGCACAATTCGGGACTATGCCAATTGTGCAGCTCGTGCACGTGAAGCTGGCTATGATGGAGTGGAGATCATGGGCTCAGAAGGATATCTGATCAACCAGTTCATCGTGGAGCACACAAATAAACGCAAAGATCAATGGGGTGGGTCGTACGAGAACCGTATCCGCTTTCCAGTCGAGATTGTCAAGGCTGTACGTGCTGCAGTAGGCGAGGACTTCATCATTATCTTTCGATTGTCCATGTTGGATCTAGTCGAGAAGGGCAGCACATGGGACGAGATCGTGATGCTTGCCAAGCAGATTGAAGCTGCAGGAGCTACGATTATCAACACTGGTATTGGCTGGCACGAAGCTCGCATCCCGACCATTGCAACCAGTGTACCGCGTGGAGGATTCTCGTGGGTTACCCAGAAGATGAAGGGCGAAGTGTCCATCCCTCTGATCACAACCAACCGTATCAATATGCCCGATGTCGCTGAGCAGATTATCGCTGAAGGACGTGCAGGTGAGCAGATTTTTAGAATTCCTAAGTGGTAGCTGAGATTATAACATTTTTAATGCTGTGTAGATATGGTGTCGATGGCGCGGCCATTCCTGGCAGACCCGGAGTTCGTGCGTAAGACGGAAGAAGGTCGAGTGGACGAGATCAATACCTGCATCGGCTGCAACCAGGCTTGTCTGGATCACACGTTTAAGGGTATTACAGCAAGCTGCCTGGTTAACCCTCGTTCAGGCTACGAAACGCTACTGAACTACACCCCGACGAACGGTGAGTTGCTTTGTGGTGTCAGTAGTGACTTGCAGTGTGATAATAGCTGTTGTCTTCTTGATACAGATGCACAACGCGTGGCAGTCATTGGAGCTGGACCTGCTGGCTTATCGTTTTCGACTGCAGCGGCGCTGCGTGGTCATGAAGTGACGTTGTTCGATCAAGCCGATGCCATTGGAGGTCAATTCAACATGGCCAAGACGATTCCAGGCAAAGAGGAGTTCTACGAGACGCTACGCTACTTCGAAAAGCAATTGAAACTCAAGGGCGTCAACGTGAAGCTTGGACAACATGTTGAAGCCGCAGATCTCACGACCGGAGCGTTCGATAAGGTGGTTATTGCGACGGGTGTGCTGCCTCGTACCCTCAAGATTCCAGGGGCAGACCACCCCAAGGTGTTAAGCTACATTGACGTCCTCAAGCACAAAGCTCCTGTAGGCAAGAAAGTGGCTATCATCGGTGCGGGAGGCATTGGATTCGATGTAGCAGAGTTCCTCTCTCACGTTGGGGAGTCCACAAGCTCAAGCGTCGACGTGTTCGCTCGTGAGTGGGGCATCGACACGACCAACTCGGTTCGTGGCGGGGTGGCCGGTATCAAGCCCAGTATCCCTCCACAAGCGCGTGAGATCTATCTGATGCAGCGTAAGAGTACGAAACATGGTAAAGACCTGGGCAAAACGACGGGATGGATCCACCGTCTTTCACTCAAGCATCGCGATGTGAAGATGATCGGCGGCGTGTCGTACGATAAGGTAGATGATGAAGGACTGCACTATACTGACAAGAAAGGCAAGAAACACGTGCTGGATGTCGACAATGTGATCATCTGTGCTGGTCAAGTGCCACTTCGAGAGCTGGAGAAGCCACTGCAGGAACAGGGAGTTACGGTGTTCCGTATTGGCGGAGCTGACGAGGCCGGCGAGCTGGATGCAAAGCGCGCGATTGATCAGGGTGCTCGTCTGGCTGCTACGATCGAGACGGCTAAGCCTGGTGATGCGCTGGGGGCTGAAGCTACTCTGTCCGCGAAGGTCTTTGAGTTCTTGAGCAAATTTCAACAGTAGGCAGGAACTCAAGGGAGTTAATACATGGAAAAGAGTATTCAGCTATGCAGGTTTACTCCGTTTTCTGTCGTTTAACCTGGCTCAATGTCTCGAAGAAGTTCTGGATGTCTTCTTTCCGCACGGTCTTGCCTGCTGCGGCAAAGCCTGCGAGGTATTGCTGGAGATTGTTCTTCATGAGACTGTAGCCCATTGCAACCTCCACTTGCTGCTCGTGTGTCAGATTGTTGGCAAAAGCACGCTGCGCCATTTCCTCGTCCGAAGCAGTTTTCTTCTCCCTTGCGCTGGCTTCGTACACGTGCAAAGAGTCCTCCGGGTCCAGGAGATATGCAATGCCATGTTTTTCAAACAGAGACACACATGACGAGCACTGGCACAGGTCATTGCGCCAATCGCTTGACCAGAACGTCGGCCGCAGCGTCGTCTCTCCTAGTTGCTGTTGTTTAACCTCCAGCACGCACTCGTTCGTGTCCGTCTGCTTGGTTTTGGAAGCTTCATCACCGTTTACTTCTCCATTCTCGGTACTGTCGACTGTGTAGGCCATGAGGAAGGGGAGCTTTTTCATGCACTCAAGGCAGATAACCTCGTCGAAGCTATCAGGAGACACCGTGTTCCCACTATCCGTTGTAGCTTCTGCGTCGTCGGGCGATTCCTTGTCCGTCTCGGCTGATGAGGAGGTCTCCTTCTCAACATTGGGTACATTGGCTTCAATTGAAGCTTCTTTCTCGTCTGCATCCTTGGAAATGTGCTCTTCGTGCAGCCAATCTTCACAAATAACACACTGTACCATGACTTCAGGCGTCGTTCGTTCCGGATCTGGATAAGGTCGGTGGCAGTTGCAGTACAGGCCTCCATAGTTCTGCGAGTACGTGTTGCGCGGGTTCGTCGGCGCTTTGTCAGCTTCCAGCTTACACGGGTTGCCTGCGCCAGTAGCAATATATCAGCCATTAAGAATCTCAAACAACCACTATCGTAGCAACTTAAACGCACTTTTAGGGAACTTTTCATTGCCACAGTCGCAGCGGAACGAACGTTTGGTGTAGAGCTCCACGAGCTCGTGGTCCTGGTGGCAGTTGTACGTGCACGCCAGACACACACCGGCACGCGTCTCAGGCTTCTCCAGCGCGTCCGGAGTGCACGTCATGCAGGCGTATACTGCCTGACGCATGTAACCCATGGGGTAGCTACAGTGTGTGTCACTGGCGTCTCCTAGCACCGCGTCCGCCGTCTCCGTCATCTGCTCGTTGTGCTTGAGCACGTCCGAGAGCGTCATCACCTCCTCGTCATCTTCGTTTGCCGTCTGCTGCTCTTCCTCTTCGCGGTCGCGTTTGTTGCCGGTCACTTGGGCAGCGGGTGTCTCCATTTCGCTTTCTGTACTTTCGGGCAATCGAAAAGTGATCAAAAATGGATCAGAAAGTGAAGGTGTTGGCGCCAAAATAATGCAGGTCGATAATTGGTCAAATTGTCAAACAGTGTTTTTACCCAATCGAAATCAACGGATACTCTTTGATTGGAGACGCTTGAAAGGCATTTTGAATCGCTTTAGCACATTTTGTTGTTGGACGTCATGGTGTTCTTCGTGTGCGAGGGTTGCAATGAGACGCTGAAGAAGAACAAGGTGGATGCGCACGCGGGACGCTGTCGTAATTGCTGGGCCGTGAGCTGTGTGGACTGCAGCGTCGTGTTCGAAGGCAACGACTACGCGGCTCACACGAGCTGCATTTCGGAGGCCGAAAAATACGAGAAGAGTTTGTTCCAGGGCGACAAGAACAAAAGCAAGAACGGTAAGAAGCAGACGCCACAGGAGCGATGGGTGGATGTGGTGCAGTCTGCTACTTGCCCCGAGGACCGCAAGGTGCAGGACGTGCTCACGCGCATCGCAGGCTACGACAACGTACCTCGCAAGAAGAACAAGTTTGTCAACTTCGTCACGAATAGTCTGGCGCTGCGCGACACGGTGCTTGTAGAGAAGGCTTGGACCATCTATGAGACGGCCTTCAAGGCCTCAGCCCCTGAAGCCAATGAGGTGGCACCCGTGGAGGAGACTGCCAGCAAGAAGCGGCCAGCAGAGACGGAGATGGAGGAAACTACAACTAAAAAGAGTAAGACTGAGGACAAACCTGTTAAGTGGAGCAAGTTGATCAAGTCTGCACTCAAAAATGCTGGCAAGGAACTGGAGATGGATGCGTTGCGTGAGCAGGTGCTCAAGCAGATCCAGGAAAAGAAGCTGTCGACGAAGAGTGAGAAGGAGCTCAAGAAGGAGTTTAAGGCTTCCATCAAAGAGAGCGATAAGTTTGCGGTGGTTGAAGTCGTGCGTCTGAAGTGATGATAGAGAACAGATAGACCACATGTGTAGACTCTAAGAGGATGCAATAGATAGGCATTGTCTTCTAGGTTCATGTCCGACTGTTTTGACCTCCTGAAGCGTGGTGGGGTAGACAGAACCCCTGCAAGAAACGTCTTAGCAGTAAGCTAGCGTCTCAATCGCAGACATGGTTGCGTGGATGAATTGAATAGCTGCGATTATAGAAGATCATACCAGACTGGAAGCAGCCAAACTCGAATGAGGCACGTGTCTTCTACACTTCGAAGTTTAGATCGTAAGGAAGTGTTCGACACTAGCACAGACGCCAATGGAACATGTAGCAACTTCTAAATACATGTAGCCTCTCACGCACTGAAAGCTCTGTCACTGACCTGACAGTGTCAGGTCAAGTTGATCTTCTCGTTTTTCGCGTGATTGGATTGTGCAGACCGGCCTGGGATAGCATTTGGGGCTTTGCTGATTAATTAATTCTTGATGTTAGAGATTCAGTCAGCAATTTTGCGTTCACAGCACCATAATCGACTGACTTCTGAGCCTAACGATGCGTGTGAGCTACGTCTTCCTGGTGGCAGCGACCACTCTCCTCGCTACCTGCGACGTTATGGCGGCTAGTCCGAGCGCGTTGTCCAAGACGTCCGTCGACGCGGTTAACGGCCACGTCGACATCAGCACGCGATCGCTGCGAATGCTAAAGAAGAAGACGGCAGCGGTTGACCCCGACGATGAAGAGAGGGTGGCTGAAGCGAGACAAATGGACTCGGAGATCCTCGAAAAAATTGTCAATGACCACGCGTACGCCAAGCAGGTTTACCGTAGCTGGCTGCAGAATGGCCAAACCAAGGAAGACATTGAGAACCGACTGAAGACTCTGGGCCTGCTCACCAAGTACGGCAATGTCGTCAAGCAGTACGGTCAGTACTTGACGAATCTCGAAGAACGATCTGTCTAATCAGCTCGAGGATAGAAGGCGGAAATGTACAAGCATTTAACAGCTCATCAAAACAACTTTGACAAGTCGCTACCAGGTAGCGTGTCCAGAACAAGGCGAAGATACCGCACTGACGAAATTTTCTCCATAAAATACTTTTTTTTTTATTGTTTCAACTTGTTTTTTGGATTCAGCGTCCAGTTGGCCGAAGACGTCAGTCGATCTGGACTGCATGTAGTAATCTACGCCGCAGCAGCATCGGAAGGAACAGCGTCTGTCTCGGTCGTTTCAGCCTTTTCAGTCGGTGTAGTTTCGTCCTTCTCTGATGTCGATTCCTTTCCCGCCGTCTCGGTCTCCTTCTTTGCAGCTTCCTCTACCTTCTCAGCAGTCTCAGTAGTCTCCGTTGTCTCCTCGGTCACAGCCTTCTCTGCCTCCTTTGGTGCTTCCTCCTCCGTCTTGGCCTTCTTGGCAACCTGCTCGTCGTTCTCCTCCGTCTCGTCACGCTCCTGGCGCTTCTTCGAGCCTTCAACATCACCCTCGGCCTGCGCAGGCACCTCCTCCTTCTCCGCGGGTTTCTCCGCTACCTCGCCTTCCGGTGTCTCCTCCGTCTTCTCCACAGTGTCCGGAGCCACGTGACCGCGGATGAAGGCGTCCACCTTGTCGAACTTGGAGCTTGTGTAGTCGCCCATGATCTTGCCTTCCTTGTACACGCGGAAGTGCGGGAAGCTGTCCACTTCCACCTCCTCACACAGCGTCTCTAGCTCCTCAGCGCTCACCTTGGCGAACGAGACTGTCTCGGCCAGCTCCTCTGCCAGCTTCTCCACCTTGGGAGCCACCAACTTGCAGCCACCGCACCAGGGCGCAGAGAAACAGGCAACCAGTGGCTTCTCGGTCGCAGCGGCCACAGCGGAGTGGAAATCTTCGGCTGACGAGATGGCGATCATCACTCTTGACTTGTTCAGGTGAAGCTTGGGCAGGTGACTCGGAAGCGGCAAATTGCAGAATGATCGATCGAACCTCCAGGCGGACATGCCAGCCACATACAAGTGGGTTCACTCTGGGACTTGCCCTCGCGCATACAAACTCCAAGTCCATTGACCGCGCTGCTTTCCTTTCCGCATTCCGGATCTCTCCATCTGACGTCAGTGTCGCATTCGAAATTCTAGATAACGGCTTTTGGCGGGAAAAGATCGCGCCACACCAAGTTTAACACCACTTCAAGTTTACCTACATTTGTAGTTTCAGCTCAAAATCTAAATTCGCGAGGTAAACCTACAAAAACGTACAGACTAGCGACCAGTTGCATCATTGCGTGCGTGTCCACGAGCCAGACGGCGTAGAGGAAGTTCGCAGTCACATGATGGACATCAACGCTGACCCCAGCGAGCTCAATTCCAGCCTCCCCCAGGCTACGAAGGCTGCCGCAATGACCGCCGACATGGAGGAGAAGACGCCGCCAAAAGGCTGCAAGAAGCAGCTCGTGGCCTGTCGCATCGAAGGCCACAAGATACAGAAGAGGCTCTCGCCTAAGAAGAAGGCGCTCGACCCACTGCGCTATCTACCGGACCACGGCGGGTACTACGCACTGTTTACTATCGCCGCGTACTTCGAGGCCGAAGGGGACGAAGCTACAGAACGGCACCATGTTGTGCAGCGAAGCTACAAACAGTTTTGCACGCTGCATTCTCGAGTAAGTGTCTAGTTCGTCTATTTCGTGGTGATATTCTGAGTGGCAAAAGTGCTAAACTGTGGTGTGCATCTATATTTTTCTAGCTGTTGAAGACGTATCCCAAGTCGCATTTGCCGAAAGGTTTACCCGCAATGCGCAACAAGAGATACGACAACGAGTACATTGAAGAAAAGCGCAACGAATTGACAAAGTATTTGGCGCAACTGATGCAAATTCCGGAAGTCAAGGCGTCAAATGTGCTGCGTGATTTCCTGGAAGCGTCGACGGCTGCGGAGGACAGCAGCGACGACGAAGATGGACTTGTGACTCCGTCGAGAATGTTGGAGGGGCTTCCGGGTACGATCGTCACTGTGCGAGCTGGACAATCATTCTCAGTGACATTGCCCCTGAGTGCTGCGGGGGATGTGGCGTCGTGGCAATTTACCACCAAAAAGCACAATATTGGCTTCAGTGCCACTTTTGAAGGAGAAATGATTCGTGCATACTCACGGGAAGGAGCGGATGTGAAACCGGTGAAGGGATTTTATCGATGCACCACCGCTGGTACATGCACTCTTACGTGGGACAACACGTATACTTGGAGTAAAGCCAAGGTGCTAATTTACTGGGCGGAGGTGGAGTCGCAGAATGGGACACCGCAACAGAGTACACAGCGTCACGCGTTAACAGCGTCTGCTACATCACAAGATGGAACTGTGTCAACTGAAAACACAGAAGCTGCATTGACGGGTAGTGGATCAGATACTGTGGATATGGATAATCGCCGACTCGGATTTATTGAGCACACCCGAAGCAACTCGATGCATCCGCGGCATCTGGTGAACTCATCCATTTCACTGCTTTCTAAGCCGTTTGTGCACGGTCATGACGATGGCTCTGCACATGGAAAAGCCCGACGTTTGATCCCTGGGAGAGCGACTTCAGCCCCTGCGCTCACGATTCCGAGCTACTTACAAGCTTCGGAACACGGTCCTCAAGTGAAGGCTGGATCGCTTATTATTCAGCGCAGTGTCAAGTTCCGTGGACGCAATTGGTATCGCAAGTGGTTCGTCCTGGACCCTCGCAAATGTGTTCTGCGGTATTATGATTCGGAGGCTGCTGCTCGCCGAGGGTTGTCACTGGCCAAGCTCAATCTGACCAACAAGCACGCATCCCTGGCTATCACCAGCAGTCTGAGCTTGGACGCCGCTCCTACGCCCTATATGTTTCTCATCCGTACCAAGAAACATTGCTGGAAGATCTGTGCGCCTTCACAAAGTGAGTACAACGAGTGGGAAAACGCCATCTCAACAGCCATTTTGACTGCGCAGCTCTCACGTCGAGGCAGGAAGAGCAAGAAGGCGATGGTTAAAGCGGCAAAAAAGTCTGCAGTGGTGCGAAAAGATTCTCAGGCAAGTGACTCGGAGGATGAGACGCCGAAGGCTGGCGCAATGACGGACATCAATGGCAATGATGTGGCAACAATGAGCTCTTGTCGCGACCCAGATAGACCACTGAGTCCAATTGAAGAATCAGACGACGATGATGATGACTCGGACAATAAAGACGATGGAGATTCTGATGATGACGATGAATCTGAGTCCGACTCAGACGATGAACTGCATGAAGGCGACGACATTGAAGTTGTCCAACCTATTGTGGACACTGGCTCGCCGATGCACATTCAAAGCGAGGCCGTTGGAAGCATGCCGGACTTGCAAAAGCTTCCATTAGAATGGAAGCTTGGTCTTGCTGCCGTGCTGAATGTGGCGCTTTTGTCAGTGCGATCCGCCCCCACTGTGGTCATTGTGCTGGTGCTGTTTATCATGGACTGGTACTTGCTACTCCTGTACATGAAAAACACAAGCGACAATGAACTGAACTCGTCGTCAATGGCAAAACCCAAGACGGAATAATTTAAAACGTAAAAGAGAAAGGAGCGATTGTTTTTTGTGTGAAGCGAGAGTTAGTTGTCTATCTTGTTGCTCAGTAGTTCGAGGTAGTCCGGGTGTTCCCACACATCCAGGCGTTTAGCTAGTGTTGGGAATTCACGCTCGATCGTGGTGAGAATGTGGTTAATAACCAACTCGTTGCCCTTCTGGTTGAAGTGAAGCCCGTCGTATTGGCAAGCACAGCGCTCCTGCTCATGCATTTCATTCATAATTGTATGGAAATCCAGCACTGAGACGTTCAAGCTCTCCGCTTCTTCGATACATGCACGAGCGTATTCACCAACGCCGTCATTGGAAAAGTCGAGTTCTCCGTCAGAATCCGACCAAACTTCGCGTCGCGCCCGATCGTTCACTGCAGGTGGGGTGATCATCAGTATGGCGGTGTCTGGGGCTTTATTTTGAACTGCTTGCACAATTTCGCGAAGATTGGCTCGGTACTTGGGGATCGGCACGTGCAGCGCAGCTTCGTATCCCGATAGCAGCGCCGAATCATTGCCACCCAGCCAAACGGCCACGAAAGCTGGAGGTTCTGGCCAAGAACTCAGCTCCTTCTTGAGACTCGGAAGAGCATGTTCGACGAAAATCTCGGTGCTGTAGCCATAAAGCCCGCGGACTATGACATCAGCCGAGCGAGTGTAGCGGTGCTGCAATTGAGCCACCCAGCCTCCAACGTCAGGATCCGTCCCCTCCTGAGTCAGCGAGTCTCCTAGAAGCAACAATTTTGGCCGCAGAGATGTTGTCGACGCCGCTCTGTACCTGGTAGACGTGGTGAAGGAAGTACGCCGTGCCAAGAGGAGACGGCGAAGCGTCAACATGGCGGGTATCTTTACTCTGGGTCCGGAATCAGGATTTGGGATAAGACAGTGAAACGTCACACCATTATGCAATGTTGTACTTATAAGTTAACGGCGGACTCGAACGTTCGTGAAATCTACGATGGTGCTGTCTGGTGCCCATGGATCAGTCTCGATAAAGTCTTCATAATGTGGGAACTGCCAGTGCTCTAGTTTTTGCGCCACATCTTCGAACTCGGCCTCGATTATTTCGCGGAGCTTCTCGTACATCAAGGCGTTGCCTGTTGTATTGAAGTGCAAACCATCCTCGAGCAAGTCCTTGCGTTTCCGCTTTGGCAGGCTGTTAAAGTACGTGTGCAAGTCTAGCACAGGAACGCCTACGCGTTTTGCCGTATCGACACAGGCACGAGCATATTTCCCTGCCATTTCGTTTGAGTGAGAGACTAAACCCTTCTTGTCCCCCTTGTTCGCCTTGGCGTTCTTCTTTTGAACTGCGTCGTCAACGTACGGCGGCGTGATAAGCAAGATCCGTGATGTGGGTGTTATAGCTTGAAAGTCGAGCACCAGTTTGGCCAGGTTTTCCTGGTACTCGTCAATAGGAATGTGACTTTCAGAAGAACCTCCTTCGGGCAATGCAGCGTCATTGGCGCCCAGCCAAATTGTTATCAGAATCGGCGAGTAGCTGAGGCCGATGATCTCGTCTTGAACTATCGGCATCGCATGCTTCAGATACCATTTCGTGTTGTAACCCGCGAGTCCTCGACAAACCACATCGACGGTGCGTCTGCAATCGCCTTGGAGCATTGTGGCCCAGCCCATAGAGGATGGAAGCAAGCCCTTCTCCGTCAACGAATCTCCTACCAGTAATACTGCGGGACGTAGCCTGTGGTGGAAACCAACTCGAATCATTACGGGTTCCCAAGCGCCTAATGACCAGGAGATGAACGCTCCGATAACAAAGATGCCGAGAAGCAAACGTTTGGTACTAGAAGAGATGCAAGCTGGCCGGACAGGCGGTGCTGGTTGTGGCTTTAAGTACGGCAAGTGGGATGAAGGAGGTGATGGCTGTGAAGACAGCGACGAACTGGATGAGCTCGACGAACACGACGACGCTGGGCTTGGAGGAGAGCGCACCATGCTGACACGAGTGCTGAAGAGTTCACCGAGCCGAATGGCTGTGAATTCGATAGCAGGAAGCTCACCATCACGTGATGTGCGCTGTGGGTGTCCCATGAAGGAGTCATCGAACTCGTCGTTTAGAGTACATTTACGAACTTGTACATGTATTACTACGGATTCTAGGTCTCCAAGTTGGTTGTGTTGTCATCGTCTGAAAGCCACGGATCTGCCTCGATCCATGTTTCATAACTTGGAATCTGCCAACGATCGAGTTTGTGCGAAATATTGGGGAAAGCGACGTCGATCTTCTGGAGGAGCTGCTCGTACATGAAGTTGTTGCCTCTCATGTTGAGGTGCAGTCCGTCCTCGAGTACGTTCTTGCGATCCCAGTCGGTCATGTTGTTGAAATACGTGTGGAGATCCAGCACGGGCAGTCCTAACTTGTTCGCCGTCTCCACACAAGCGCGAGCGTAGATTCCAGCCATTGTGTTGGAGTGAGCGACCATGTCTTTCATGTCGCCCTTGTACTTTCGAGCATTTCTCTGCTGGGTCTTGTCATCGACGTACGGCGGGGTAATAAGTAGAATTCCAGCATCTGGAGCCATAGTTTGGAAATGAAGCACAAGCAAGACAAGGTTTTCCTTGTAGGACTCGACAGGAACGTGCTGAGCCATTGCAGTTCCATTGGGCAATGCGGCGTCGTTGGCTCCCAACCATATCGTGATCAAAGTGGGCATGTACGCTCCGCTAGAGATTTCTCCCTGGATACTTGGGACTCCATACTTCAGATACCATCTACACAGTCACCATCACGTACATGAGTCAACAAGATGCTCGTTCACATAAAATTTCTCGAAAATCCTTACTTGGTGTTGTAACCGGAGAGTCCACGGGGCACCACGGTAACTGAGCGTCGATAGTCGTGCTGTAGCAAGGTGACCCAGCCATTGTTCTTGGGAATGGTGCCCTTCTCGGTCAGAGAATCCCCGACGAGTAACATGACGGGGCGAAGTTGGGGACGAATGCTGGTCCTTTCAAGAATACCTTCCCAAGCACCAAAGGACCACGCGATGTACGCAGCCATGGCAAAGAACGCCAGCGCAATCCGCTTAGGTGCCGTGTAGTAGGTAGCCAATGCAGGTACCGACGACGTCGTTGGAGACGGCAGCTTCGGCTTCACAGGAGGCGAGGCCATGGCGGAATTGTAGGCCGACGAGAAGCTTACACCAAGGCAAAAGTGACAATTTCGGCAGTAAACACGATCGCCACAGATTCACCATCGTGTGACACAATCCCACAAGGTGTTCCAAGGCCGCTCTTGTATGATACACACCCAGTTTGTATCTGAGTGACTAAAAGTTAGTCAACACGTCAGCATTGGCAGTTACCGAGATCATGATAAGCAAACCCCTCAGAGTGCAAGACACTTCGATGCAAATACGAGTTCTATGATATAATTTAGCTATTCGATCAATTGCTTCGGAGCGTACGAGTACTGTTGGTACCATCGTGTGTATCGTCCGGAATCCACGGGTCGCTCCGGACCAGTGTGTTAAAGTTTGGAAGTTGCCAGCGTTCGAGTTTGCGCACTACACCCGGGAACTCGGATTTGATCTTTTCCATTAGCTGGTCGTACATCAACTTGTTGCCTCTCGTATTGAGGTGCAGTCCGTCCCCCAGCAAATTATTGCGTCTCCACTTGGGCATGTCGTTGAAATACGAGTACAAATTCAACACGGGGAGCCCCAATTTGTGCGCAGTTTCGACACAAACTTGCGCGTATTTACCTGCCATTTCGTTCGTGCGGTCGATCACTCCCGTTTTGTCCCCATCATTCTTCCTAGCACGTCGATGGCGCTCCATGTCGTCCACGTGAGGTGGAGTGATCAATATGATCCTCGCATCGGGTGCCAATGCCTGGAACTCCCGGACAATCATGATGAGATTGAGCCGGTATTTCTCAATTGGAACATGCTGCTCCGAGTTGCTTCCGTTCGGTAATGCAGCATCGTTGGCCCCAAGCCACAACGTGATGAGGACAGGAGTGTAGGAGCCGCTGATGATTTCTCCTCGGATAACCGGCATCGCGTATTTGAGGTACCATCGAGTGTTGTATCCCGACAATCCACGGGGCGCGACGTTGGCAGACCGAGTGTAGTCGTTCTGTAGCAAGGTGACCCATCCATTGGACTTGGGGTTTGTGCCCTTCTCAGTGAGCGAATCGCCGGCGAGCAGCACCGTCGGACGCAGCTTTGGACGCAGGCCTGTCTCGATTAGGAAGGCTTCCCAGGCACCCAACGACCACGCGATGTATGCGGCCAGAGCGAGACAGGCCAGCAGAGTACGCTTGACATTGATGGACGGACGCCTGAAAGACTCCGGTAAAGCGAAGAGAGGCGAGGGCTTCGTGGGCTTAATAGGCGTGGGGATCATGTTCGGAGGTGGTGGCGACGCCTCGGCTCGGGCTGTGGCCCGATGGAGGGCAATTCCGGCAGTGAGTGCTGTAGATGTGCCACATTGGAGCTGTAGGGAGTCTCACTGACGGATTATGCCCCATCTTTGGTGCGTGAGTGTGTGACATTCATTTCGGAATGGGGAGCAGATCGGTTTTAAGAGCTTATTAAAAGGCAATTTACAAATGATGAGTGAACATGCAGGTAATATGCTCTTAAAGTGATGGGTTACAGAAAGTTAGCCCGACTTTCTCATCGTTATCATAACGAGCAAATGCGCGTAGATTGTTTGCCAATTTGACATGAATGCAAAATGATTCGAATTACATGTGCACGGTATGCTAACACCATGACTTTCATGTTTCCTTCGCTCTCTCTTCATGCACCAACGTGGCTTCAGACACGATTCGTAAAACACCAAGAGCTGCTCGCGAACTGTAGTATTCCATTTGGTATCAGCTGGTGTGACACTGAAGATGCCACAGGAACATGTGCATCGATTCGCTAGTAATCAGATCATCGTTTAAGCAAACGAGTGGTGACAAGACCGAATTACACGCACTCTCCATTTGAGCCGTCCTACAGCTCTGGAAAAGATAGGCCGGATCACACAGAGTGCATTTCCTGCCTATCCTCATCTGGGCACTGGAATCTGTGCCAAGATTTCCTCGAAGTAAACTGGATTGTTGAAACGCTACAGCTGCATATGCACAAAGTGCATGCACACTATTACGCGGTGCGGCCACAGTAGACTACTGTCAGTAGTAGATTCATGGCTGCTACGTTCATTCAAACCCCTTTAACAGTGAAGCCATTTGCTTTCAGTAAGTGAAGTACATGTACATGTATCATGGTAGCCGATTCCAGTTGGGGATATCCCAAACCTCCAGGCGAGACATCAACGCTGGAAACGCGTCTGCAATCTTTGTGCGCAGCAGCCGATCCATGAGTCGGTTCCCCCATGCCGACAAGTGCAGCCCGTCTTCAAGGCACATAGTTCGCTCGCGAGCTGACATTGCGTTGAATAGAGAATGCACATCCAATACCGTCACCCCGACTTTCCCTGCTGTCTCCACGCACACCCTAGCGTACTCGCCTGCCATTGTATTCGAACGGTCAAGACGACCGGTCTTGGAGCGCATCTGCCGCGCAGCGTCGTCCACATGAGGAGGTGTGATCAGTAGCAGCTCAGCATCTGGAGCACTTGCCTTTAACATGTATACAATTGTCTCCAAGTTGGTAGCGTACGCTTCCAATGGCACGTGCTGTCGCGCCGATGGTCCGTCTGTCAGTGCTGCATCATTTGCTCCTAGCCACAGCGTGATCAAAGATGGAGAAATGCTGCCGTCAGACAGCTCACGTTTGATAACAGGCAGCGCGAACTCGATGAACCACCTGCCAATGGAATGGGAGAAATAAGCTATTGCCAGTCGGAGAATGCCATGCTGGGACAACGTACTTGGTATTGTAGCCCGAAAGTCCGCGGGGAAGGACGTCGGTCGACCGTTGGTAGCGATGCTGCAGTAGTGCCACCCACCCGGACTTGTCAGGGTTGGCACCGTTCTCCGTGATAGAGTCACCCAAGAGATACAGCACTGGCCGGCGGTCCCTGAAAGTTACCTGCATCCATGCCCCGAAATATGAAGCGAAATAAACTACAGCCACGGCGGCCACAACTGGCACGAGGCTGCGCAGCGACACACGCGCGGAGGCCATCAAACTTAATGAAAATGAGAAACCGGTAGTGAAACCGGTGGGATAGGCAAGCGGAATTGTTTTATTTGCAAGTGACCATCTATCTATCCAGGATACATGTTGAAGCTTCACTCAGGTCGACTAGACCATTAAGAAAGCTACGCATTCATCCAGGTGCGGAAGTTGGGGAGCTGCCAGACTTCAAGTTGCTTCGCCAGGTCGGGGAATGCCTTAGTAATCTTGACCTGCAGTTGTTCGTCCACCAAGCGGCTGCCCTTTGCGGTGAAATGCAGTCCGTCATCCAAGCACGCAGCACGTTCACTCTCCGACATAGCGTTGAAGAACGAGTGCAAATCCAACACGTCTACGCCAACCTCCCCAGCGACCTCCACACATGCTTGTGCATATTCGCCAGCCGCAGCGTTGGTGCGTTCAGCGCAGCCGACTGGGGAGCGGGACTTCCGGACGGCGTCGTCCACGTGCGGCGGGGTGATTAGCAAAATGTGAGCCTGCGGAGCTTTAGCCTGGAAAGAACGGACGATCATAGCCAAATTCTCCTTGTATGTTGCTAGCGGGACGTGCTGGCGTGCTGCGGTGCCATTCGGAAGGGCAGCGTCGTTGGCACCCAGCCACAACGTGATCAAAGACGGAGAGCGCACTTCACCGGATAGCTCGCGCTCAACCACGGGCAAGGCCGACTCAATGAACCACCTACCCATACAGACGAAAGCGTCAGTAAAATATTGCATTGATTCAATGCAGCCCATCAACTAGCAACGAGTCGTACTTGGTGTTGTAGCCTGACAACCCGCGTGGAACGATGTGGGCCGATCGGTTGTAGCGGTGCTGCATCAGTGCGACCCAACCGGCATTATCCGGATCGGTTCCCCGCTCTGTTAACGAGTCACCCGTGAGGTAAATAACCGGTCGGGGTGTCGGTAGCGTAGCAGCAGCGTTGACGGCGTCGGAGGTGCTCATCACAATAGACTTCCGGGGCGAAAATGATAGTGATGGAGTTTTGACATGCAATTATTTTGCACCAATCGACGCGTTGAGTGAGATTTATATGAACCAATCAGGTTTCTTGTCCGTTACGAACCAACTTCAAGTACGTCAGCAAAGAGTCGCGTGGGCACTTTGCAGCGATGGTCTCCTCTAGAAGAGTATCATCACCAACATCGTCCCTTTCAAGTTATGGTGGCTCATGTAAATACCAACAAGCCTGCAAGACTACACTGGCAGGTGGTCACAAAGATTTCGAGCAGCTTTCCGTCGACGATGATCGCGAGGTAGCAAGACGAGTTCTCGCAGATTTAGAGGGACTTTGCTTCGATGAAGACAGCGATGAAGAAAGTGGACATGAAGACGAATATGAATCGAGTTCGGAATGGGGATCGGAGACGTCATCGCGCAGTTCACGTGGTAAGCGGAATGCAGGAGGAATGACTCTCGAAGAGCTCACAGTGGCAGTGAATGCTGCCATTGAATACCATCGTCCGACGAACTCGGCGGTTGTACAACTAGAGACAACGCTGGAGGGCAAGGAAGACGACAACCTATTCAAGTGCTCCAAAGGCCACCGTTCTCGCTCTCGCCGCCGTCATCAACGAAAGGATTTATCTACAATGTCGTCTTCAAAACGAGATTCAGTTTTAGAAATGTTCCAGGATATGTTGGAGAGGAAAGAAAAGCACTTCTACGCGCTTCGAGCCGCGAATGTGAATGTTGTAGCTGAGGACAACCAAAGCCAAGGAGCCTTTGCAAGCTCTGTCAAGGTTGACCAGCAGCAACAGACTACGGCATACGTGAGGGATCAATTTACCGAAACCGAGAAGTGCTCGCATCGTCGATCTCTCGAAGCAGCGTTCGGCGTTGCTGAATTCGACATCCCACCACTATCACCATCATCGAGCGTGGGCTTTGAGTATGCTGCGACCCCAAGCAATCTAGTGCGACCAATTGAAGTTGGCCCAACGCTTGCAGATCTTACTCGTACCCGTAAGCGGCAAGTTTTGTCTTCTCACCGACATTCTGCTTCTGAACCTTCATGGAGCTCATCTTCTTCGTCATCGGCGACTGATACAGGTTACCAATCAACGTTTGCCAGTGAACACAGCCGTGGCAGTGACAACAGCAGATCCAGCAGTAAAAGCAGTGTTAGTAGTCGGCATCGCCACAACAGCACAAAAAGTAGCAGCAAAGCCAGCACAACGCCACCACCAAGCAAATGTAGTGCAAGCCAACATCAAATTCAACAGCATGCAGAACGAGAGCCACCCACCAAGACTACAGAGCTGAGTGACGGACAATCTGCGCTAACCCTGAAGGATCAATCCGAGGCTGGAGTCTCACATCTGCCTGCAGACCAGTCACAAGTGCCAAGCAGCCCTGAGCTAGTGGAATGGGAGCTAGATCTTTCCAACTTTACTTTTTGAATTAATGCTTGGCCTTTTGTTATCTAGGGCTTATCAAACTCTGCAATGTTTGCAATTTCCTACACGTTGTTGATTTTCTCGTGCGTCCTCCGCATTTCCTCCACAGATTCAGGGAGTGCCTTATTGCTGTAATCACGCACCAGTACCGAACTTATAGTGCCCAGAAGCATCATACTAGCGGTGATTGCCAATAGCAGCGTTACATGGACCGGTGGTCCGATGAGATATCCATTAACAAACTGCGCAGCTACAGAGCCTGCTCTTCCAGCAGCCGAGAGTGTACCCATACCAGTCGTACGCACGTCCGTCGGGAATGATTCAGCAGACATGAGATCGATTGCATTCCAACCTGCAGTGCTGAAAGCGTTGAAGCCACTGGCTAGTAGTACTATGGTTGCGGCACCCGACGCTGAGGAGTTCGCATAGGCAAACCCAGTAGCGCAGCCAGCCGATAGCAGCATGGAAATGGCGAGAATCCGACGTCCACCGAGACGATCCATTAGCAATGCAGTCATGATATTGCCAGGAAGGTTCGCAGCGGCGTAGATAAAAGCGTTGGCGAACGGATTTTCGAGACCAATTCGCTTAAACAACATGGTAATCCAAGTGGCAAGACCGTATGACCCGAAACTCAAGCAAAACCACGACATCAACAACGATATTGTCGTGCCACGGAGTACCGGATCGAACAGTATTCCATACGCAGACAACGAACTCCTCTCCGTCTGAATCCCGGGATCTGATGGCCCAAAGACAACGGTGTATCCGTTCACCTCGCTAGCATCAGTGTTATGCTGCGATAACAGAGAACTTGACTCGGTAACGTGATCCGCAGCGTCTCCGTTGGTAGTTTTAATGGTGTCCACAACCATCTCTGCATCTGTGAGCAACCGGCGACGAGCGAAGAATTGCGCGCTTTCAGGCACATATTTGTACGTAAGCATCCAACACACGAAACTCGGTAATGATACGATAGCTGCAAACGCACGCCATGAATACATCGCGTCAGGACGACCCAGCATAAACCAAGCCAGCCCAGCCGTAAAGACTGCACCCTGCGAGTTCCGCTATGAGTTAGTAAGAATTGTAAGCGAATTGAAAACTGTTTTACATACCACCATCCAGTACGCAGCTACTATTGTGACGTAGTAGCCTCGACGATTCGCAGGTACATGCTCCGAGCACAAAGTGAACAAGGCTGGTACGGTGCCTCCAATGCCTAAGCAAAAGCATCGAAAATGTCAAAAATCTGTTGAAAACTCCCAGCTCCTGCAGTCTAGACACATACCAATACCGGCACACGTCCGGAAAGCGATCAACGCGTACACGTTCGGCGACAAGGCCGACAGGAGTCCGAAGATACCGTTTAGTAGCAACGAATAGAGTAAACTCTTGCGCCGGCCAATACGGTCACTTAGAGACCCGAACAGAAGTCCTCCAGTGAACATCCCAGCGAAGATAGCAGCCGCCAATAAGCCTAAGCACACAACCAGTCAGCTTAAGATTCCTGCGTCGAATACCATTCAGCGTCTTACTCTGCTGTGCCCGAGTGAGCACAACGCCCTCCTTGTCCTCGTACACCGCCAAAATGTACCCAATGGAGAGGATCTCGACTGCATCAGCGGCATTGCCCAGACCTAAAATACTGCAACTTCCCCCTTTCAGCACTTGCCACACAAGCGAACATGGCAATTATCGCTACGCACAGCACAGCGCGAAGTTGGAAAACACCGTCGCTGATATTGGCAATAGCCTGCACATACACAATCACTGTCAACACAAGCACACCATAAGTTCGTTGCATTTGCACTGCTCGTACGTGCCGTAGCTGCTCGATCCGCAATAGTCTCGCACTGCCAGAGGCTTCGCTTGTCATTTTGCCACGCAAATTGAAACTGCTAGATTTTGACCACCATTTGTTCGAGCTCTGATTACCCAATCACACGCGAGAAGCTCACTTATCTTGGTTGGCAAGAATGGGACGACGACGCTCCAAGTGGAAGGACAACAAGCGCCTGGATCGCGGCAGCCAATTGCTGCATCATGCTAAGGCTGGAGACTGCGTAGCGCTAAAAGCGCTCCTGGATGAATCGAATGAAGAATCGAGCGAGTGTTTGCAGCTCACACAGGACCATAATGGCTCGACGGCGTTGCACCTCGCAACCAGTGAAGGGCACTGCGAAATGGTGCAATTGCTTCTGCAACTCGGAGCTGGTGAGGTCCATTTAGCTGGCGGACGGAAGAAATATGCACGTACGCCACTGCACGAGGCTGCGATCAATGGACACTTGGAAGTCTGCCGCCTCTTAGTGAACTTCGGACTCTTGGTGGACTGCCACACCACGAGAGGACGCACACCGCTCATGTATGCTGTGAAAGGCAACTTTGTGGAGCTAGCGCGATACTTTATCAAAGAAGCAGGTGCCAATGTGAACGAACAGAACGAGATGGGGGTGACGGCAGTATATATTGCGTGCCAGGACGGGCAGGAGGACATGGTAAAGTTCCTTGTCCAAGAAGCACACGCGGATGTGAATTTGAGTAATCGAACCAACCATGCACCGCTCCATGAAGCAGTCGCCGGTGGGTTTACGGCCGTAGTGGATTTCTTGCTGAACAACGGAGCGGACAAGTACGTCGTGGATAAGATGGGCGTGACGGTGTGGCACGAAGCTGCGGGCAATGGATCTGTGGACATGCTGGAGCTGCTAGTCCAGCACGACGTGTCACTCCATCCGAACGGCCAGGAACAAGTAGACAAGGTGATGGCTCGACATCCGTTCCACTATGCAGCAGTGGAGGGTAAGGCAGACTTTGTGCAAGCACTTCTGAAGAAAGAGCTCGTGGACGTCAACTTCGTGGATAGTGATGGCTGCACTGCACTCTACTATGCAGCTGCAAATGGTCACGTGGATGTCATGCAAGTGCTGCTGAGCTCCGGTGGCGACCCAAATGTTGTCTCCATTCGTCGATCGCCTTTGCATTGCGCTGTCGAGTGGCACCGTGTCGAGTGCGTGAAGCTACTGCGTCAGCATGGTGCCGCGTTGGATGCGAAGGACAAGGACGATCTCACGCCTGTCAAGGTGGCAGAACAAAAAGGCTTTTGCGATCTGTTGGCGCTTCTCGATGATGGCGATGCGACGGCCCCGTAAACCTCAACATGGTGGACACGAGAACTGATGAAGTCGCAACGAACCTTTGCACAGCCAACTGTCCTAGCTGTTCTATGCGCGGCCACTTCATAGTAATTATATAGTCAGCCTGGTAATTACCATTCCACTGCGCAATGGACCAAGAGCTTGTCATTTCTAACTCCACTAGCACAGATCTTGTCGCTGTAAGATCCGATTGCACGACTTGAACAACCTGGTCATCATGGTGATTATGATCAAGGTCTAGCTAGGCCAATCCGATCGCTCGAATGCAAGATCTCCTACGACGATTCGCTAGAATAAGTTCTAGACTTTTCGGCGAATGGTAGGACGCCCAAAGACGTGGATATAGCCAATCAGCGCAGATGTCCTACCTGGCCCATGTCTGACGTTGCGAGCCTCGACCAAAACTGAAGCGCGCCACGCCAGCCGCCACGCACTTCAGAATTGCATTTCCAGTCGAGTACTGAAGCCCCACAACAACAAGAAGAAGAAGAACACACAGAAACGACCCATTCAATCAAGATGCCTGTCGAGATCAATACCCCCGAGGAGTTCAACGCCGCCATCGGCGAGAAGAAGCTGACGGTTGTGCAGTTCTCTGCGCCGTGGTGCGGCGGCTGCAAGATGGTGGCCCCTAAGGTGACCAAGCTGATGGAGTCGGACTTCCCTGACGTCAAGTTTCTCAAGGTGAGCGCGGAAGAGCTGGAGGATTTCTGCGAGGAGATCGACGTGGACAGCTTCCCGACGTTCCGCGTGTACAAGGACGGCGAGGTGGCGGCGTCGTACGTGAGCTCCAAGTTCGAGAAGGTGGAGCAGTTCATCCGTGAGAACGCGAAGTAAGTGGTGGCGATTTGCAACCGACTTCCGTGGCGCCTGCATTGCGGGCTTGGATATCCGACTTATTGGCGCGTGCTCTTGGCCATCTGTCGAACTGTTGGAGAGCACTCGAGTTTAGATGAGCTTGTCCTTAGCACTGCATATTTGTAGTGAAGGGCAGGGCGCCTACTAATATATTGAAATATAAAACTATTTCACCTGAACCATAACTGATGGTGTAGTGTTGTTGTGTTCCAGGCTATAACGAAAGATGCACCTTGAAAGCTTAGATTCTCGTGGTGCTTCGTGCGATGCCACGATGACTCACGAAGAGCTACGAAGAGTGACTAAAGCATTAGCTGTGCCAAGGTACAAGTACTACTACCAGTACTAGTGTAGTACACTTCGAGCCTAGCGATGGCTCGAGCGGCAAGCTGAATGAAATGGCAAAAATTTGGATACTATCCAACTACTGTACATGTACTTTGAAGTGTACCGCAAATAAAGTGTCGATTCAACTTGGATCTTCGCCGCAATGGTGATTGTAGCATAGACAACTCCCTGCTTGCTGTTAATAATTGCTCACTCAAAATGTGCATGTGCAAATAAGTACATGTACGCACTAACACGGAAACAAACAAAATCTCGATCGTAAGTCAACACACTTCAATTTAGCAACCGTTTTTGAGTACGAA